CGTCTCTGCCTCCCTCTGGATAAGTATTGCCATAAGCATCGGTAGAGACCCGACTGGCAGTCGCCAATTCACTGGGCACCTCGTGCAGTGTCGGTGTTCTGGAACTTGACGCCTGTGAGGATGATCTGGCTCGTGGTTTCCCGGAAGCATCATGACTATGCGACTGTTCAAGGCCACAACAATAAGATGCGAATGGTGCTGCAGCTATTGATGGTGCCGCGGATGGGGTCTGCCGCAACCCGAGATCGGATCGTTGAATTTCAGTGATTTCATGAGTTTCTTTAGTCTCCCTGACAGCCATATAACCCGGTTGCTTCTCGGCTACCTCTGCATCTCCTCCAATTGGAGTGGTGAATGCACCGAGAGTTTGCTCACTGTCCTTCCATGACTCTTTTTCGAGGTTCTGGCTGGGTGTCAGGGAGCCCGACCTGGCCCTACCGGGGCTTGAGCATGGTGATTGTGGTGGAGATGGATGAGTATCCGAAAGACGATTTGCCTCGGGAGGCAATCTCTGTTGACCCCGGGGAGCTCCGTGGGCTTGTTGTTGTTCTTTGGAGTGATCGAAGGTCATGGACTGTACTCTTTTGGGGGAAGGGTGAAGTCTTATGGTAGTTGATTGTCGTCGGAGATCAGCTATTAGAATTGATCTTGGGTGGTCGGCGTAATTTTATGAGAAATGTAGAGGGGAAATCCCAACCAAAGAGTCCGCCAATATGTATTTATCTGATTTGACTGATATCTTTCAAAATTTCTGCAATGACAACAGAGTCGAGCTGTGGCGGCAAGACAGGGCAGATGACGAGCAAAGAAGAAAAGGTGCAAGACGAAGAGGCGGTTGTCGTACCAAAACCGAACCAGGCCATTGTAGAAAGGAAAAGCCTGATGAGCGAAATCGGTCATATCCGCTCTCAACTTTTGTGTGGAGGTGGATCTCTCAACTAGGACGCAGTGATCATCGAAACAAAATGTTGACTTGTGATGTGCTGTGTGTGGAGAGCAACTGCGAGGGTGTTTAGCGAGCGCACTCGAGCGCTGTGGGTAACAACAGAGAAAAAGCGCTGGAGAACGAATGAATGAGGGGAAGCCGAAGCTCTGTGTGGAGAGGCCATCCGTACCTCGTACTTGGTGTTCGTACATGATGTCGTACGTTTAACATTTATCGAGCGATGCACACTCGTACTGTCGTCTATGTCACTGTCTTGTCCATGAGGCTGCTGGAAATCCACGAGACTAGAAACAAAACAACTGCACAGGGCAGAGAAAGTAAAAGAAAGAGGTAGAGCAAAATGCGAGTGGTTTCTGTTGTGTCATGTCGCATTCATTTCTAGAACCGTTCATTAGGTTGCGAGTCGTCCTTCTCCCGCAGCCGTGCTGCTTCCAGTTCCATTCCATATGCACAAAAATCGACAAAGCATAACTAAACGCTCGCTCACATTCCTTTTCTTGCCCATGGGCTTGTTGGATATTCTGGTGCGCAAGGAGGGACAGAGTGTATGAAGGTGGCGTGAATGCCCGGAAGCGTCCTCTTGCCGTCTGGCTTTCCAATAATTTGTCTTCCGTCGTGTTCACGTCATCTCACACTCAGCTCCTCTCTCAATTTAGATGGCTCATTCGGGTTGGCTGCTACCATTTTGTTTCTCCTGCCTAGCAACGTGGAGTTGTCCAGACTCAATTCGAATGGCTGCTTGTTCCGCCGCCCAACGCTCTGCTTGGCTGCCGCCGCCACTGCTGCGCTATGCTGGCCATATCCTCTCTGCTCCTGCTGAGTATTATGATGTTGGCTTCTGGCAGGTGCTGCTGCTGCGCGTGCTTGGGCTGCGGCAGAGGGTTGCGTTCCGAGATTGGTTTGACGCATCTTGGCTTCCATACTCGACACGTCGGCTGGCTGCTGATTCTTCGGCACTTTGCTGGATACTTCTTCTTCGTAATCTTCGTCCTCATCATCTTCGTCTTCATTTAGAGGATTTAGTCCACCAGGCATTCCTGCTCCTCGGTAGCCTTGCTTGAAGTTCTTTCTCCTTTTGGCTTCTTCCTCCTGTCGGTGCACGGCATAACCAACGTCAAATACTTCGCGGAGGTTGACAGCTCCAGGCGATCGGAAGTCTGCTCGCTTTGCTCCCGGTGTATTGGGTGTGGTGAGGAAGTCAGCAGGGAGGTTGCCCGCTTGGGCGATCTCCTTCTGGCGAACATACAAAGGTGTTGCGAGAGGTGGTGCATCTGCAGCAGCATAGGTGGGCTCGTTAGTATTCCGAATCCAGGGATGGTTCAAGAATTCTTGAATGGTATAGCGACGGTCGGGGTTAACGGTCAAAAGATGTGACACTAGGTCTTGTGCTGATTTCGAAATATCGTCCCACCAAGGTGATAGGAAGGTATATTGACCCCGGGCGACCTTTTCCGTCAAGACTTGGATCGACTCATCATAGAAAGGAGGAAACCCGCAAAGTAGGGTGTACAGCACACAACCAAGAGCCCACATATCGACCGACTTGCTGTAGCGTTCATCCTTGACAATCTCAGGGGCAGTGTAGCCGACTGTACCGCAAGGTGTCATGGTTTGAGAGTCCCATATCACCTTGGAAAGACCAAAATCGGCAATTTTGATTTGGCCGATACCGCCAGCACCGACACCTGGAATAAATTCTCCCTCATCGGCTTTTTCTTCGTCTTCGGGCCCTCTGGGTTTGGGATTGCGAGTTGGAATAAATGGAATGGGATAAAATAGAAGATTTTCTGGTTTGATGTCGCTAGAACGAGGTTAGCTACTCCCGTGAAACCCGCCACTACGGTCCCAATACGTACCGATGGACCACACCGGTCTCTTCATGTAGATATAGCAGGGCATTGGCGACCTGAGTAATGACATGTCGGCTTAGGTCTTCGCTGAAGTAGGTCAAGCGGACAATCTGGTGGAACAACTCGCCACCCGGACACAGCTCGAGAACGATATAGTAGTACTGCCGGGACTCGGAAAAGTCAATGAGCTTCACGATATTGGGATGGTCCAATTGGCGCATGATTTGGACTTCTTTGAGGATATTGGCTCGCTATAACAAGAGGTTAGTCTTTATTCGGACGGAGGCTAGGAGTGTTTTGAATGCGTCAATTGGGTCAGAGTGTATGTGGTAAGAGGGAGGTTCGGATAAGGTGGAAGTGCGCACCTCCACGCCCTTTGGTTGTTTTTTGAAGTTCGGATGAAGGTGAGCATCGCCCTAGGTTAGAAGAGGTTGGTTTTGAAGCTGGTTTTAAAGAAGGAAATGAACGGTAGAAAGAGATAAGGGGGGAGATGTGCAATTCGAGGGACGACAGAGCTAGGGCGTGGGCAAGGAAGGGGAAGGGAAAGCTTCCGAGACATGGCAGTGTCCCATGACTCCCGGCATACCTGATTCGAGTTCATTTCGAACTTACGGACCACCTTGATGGCGACCTCGTCTCCGGTCTGGGTATCTCTGGCCTTGTAGACGTTACTGAAAGCGCCGTCTCCCATCTTTTCGACCAGGATGAACCGTTCCAGACCAGGATAGCGGGGCATCTTGCTGGCCTTCTCCCTCTCCTCGGCAACAATGGCTTCGATATCTGCCTGGATCTTCTGGTTCTTGCCCGCAGCGTGGGCTGCGGCAGCTCCGGCTTGAGCAGCCACATTTCGATTGTCGCCGCCAGCGACGGAATATTCACCAGGTTGAGGTTGGACTTGATGGTGCTGTTGCTGTCTGTGATGGTTGCCTATAGGTTCGCTGACGCCGTGGTGATACTTCTGTTGTTGAGCGTGAACTGTAGAGACGTTGGTGGTGGGATGATCGCGGGGAGGGTCGGCAACACGGGCTTGCTTCCCATGACGTATAAAGTTCTTGAGGTTCTGAATGGTGCTCATTTTAGCCAATGGTCCTGTGCAGATCAACGCACAGGGCGGCGATATGAGGAGAGAAGAAGGAAGTGGTGGAAGAAATCTCGAGAGACTGCGGTCGGTGCCAGCGGGTAACACAAGAGGTTGCGAGATGGAAGAAAAAGTTCACGGCAGTAGGCAGGAGGCAGTAGTAGGCAGGGTCCCGGGGCCCAGATTTTCGGTGGTTGCAGGAAACGGCGAAGTGGATGATTCAGCAGCAGGATAAGCGGAACGCAGCTTTGACGGAATAAGGTGAAGTGCCAATGACCGGTCTTGGTTTTTTGAGATGGCTGATGCGAAGTGGAAGCGGGGCGGGGAGAGGGGAAATGTACGCGGGGCGTATCAGGCGTAAACGAAGAAACGAAAATGAGATGTGGTGAGGTAGAAGCAGAGTGAGAGATATGCTGGTGTGGTTTTGAAAGGAGAGAGGTGATGAGGTGGGAGTGTAGATGGTTTGGATTGTAAGAGAGGGAAACTTGGAAAGGAACGGAAGGGGAACAGTGGTGAGGTGGTGCGCAGACAACAGAGTCAGTGACGGATGGGTGACGACGGAGGAGGTGGTTGGAGGGGCAAAAATGACCCCGAAGAATGTAAGGCTTCAGGTAAAAGATGTAGCTAAGCAGCTAGCGAAATAGGTACCAGTTGGTGGCAGTGGTACTTCCCAGTGGTGCCGCTGCTGCGTAATAGGGGGCGCACTGGCTTTCAGATGAGGCATGACAGGGGATGGGCGTGGGAGGGTGGCGTAGGTAGGGGAAAGTGATGAGATCATACCCGTGGGCAGTTGTCCAGGGCACATCAAGAGGGGGCCCGACCGCACACCAGGGGCAAACAACAAAATAACTTACAGGTGGCTCCGCTCGCTGTGGGTTCCCCAAGCCTCCATTGAAATGTTCCTTGCGCTGCAGTGCCCTGTGTGGCCTTTTGGTGCTTGAGCTCTCCAAACGACATTCCGATCGACGCCGATGCAGGGTCCTCCTCGCAAAACCGCCATGGCACGCATGGCCAGATCTGCTGTTCTCCTCCTGCCTTGCCGCGAATGGCTGGCGAGGCTGGGTCCTCCCCATATTTGCCGTCCGATCAACGTCATCAGGTCGAGTGTCGATTGGAGTTGACACTGTCACTGGGCGACGATCTCTTCGATTGTGGCCTTGACAATATCCCGCTGCCATTGCCCGTCGGTTGGAAACGCAAATCGCATGCCGTTTGTTGACCGGGTTGGCATCGTTCAATCTCCCAAACACCTTGGGCGAGCACCTGTCCCGGTAGTCGTGGTGATACTCCTGGAAATCCCTGTCCAGATCCAAACCCAGGTTGCGATCCAGCTGGATTCGGGCGTTCAGGAGGCTCTCCGGGTGGTAGAGTTCGTCATCTACTATCAACGGTTCAATAATGGTGGGCGCAGGGGGTGGTGCCATGTCGGACACGTCGCCATCCTCCAACCTCCACGAGTCAAAGTACGACTCCCAGCTGTCTGTCGGCGTGACAGTCTTGGTAGAAGATGCTATTGATGGGTTTCTGTGGTGATGCGCCATGGCGTGGAAATCGCTGACAAAAAGTAATGCGGCTCGGTAGATATTTGATGTATGGGAAAGAGAGAGAACAAGATTGGTATACACCTATCCCACCATTCCTGTGGAGCTATATTCGGTCACGAGCTGGATGAAAGACAGTTCAAAGAAGTAAAGGAAGAAGACGTCCATGTGTCGTATTCTAACGGCTATTCCTATCCTTTTGATCTTTTCCGCTTACTTCCGTCCGGCCCAACAGCTATACAAGACTGGTCGGGGATGAACCATCTCACCCTCCCGCGACAGCCTTTCTCAAGCATGTTACCCACTCGACTATCGGTTATATCACATGGAGTGTCACCGGGGATTTGCAGAAACCGCGCTCGCATGATGGTGGTACCCCTGAGTGCGAGGGAGGTCATACACACCATGATTCGACAGTTTCAGGCATTCCAATGCAAGGGGGGATCAGGCTTAACGAGCCGATACCAACTTTTTGGTCCACGAGCTATTCGTAGCTCCAACCGAGCTCTCCACCTTGTCAAGCGTCGAGGCTCTAACACGTCACTTCACTTCTGATCGACTTCGCTTCCGATTCGATAGTTCCCCCAGATATCCAGACATGGCAAAGCGACAGGTCCAAAGGGTGAGACCTCATAGGAGAGCCTGTCTAACGGTAGCACCTTATCGACGGGTCCTGAATCCATCAGAGCCCAGCCCACATTCTTCCTATGGAACCTCCCATTGACATCATGCATATTATATCTGGTGTACGAATGCCCTATGTCACACACGGAGGACAGACAGCTAACTCGCGTCCAACACGCGTCTGGAAATCCCGCGGAATCCATCCCCATGCATTCTTCCAGGAAATTTTCCAGGGGAAAAAAGGGGGTGATCAAGAAAGCTGTCAGGACGGATTCCATCCCCAGGACATACCAGTACCATCTGCCTGGCGGCCAGTCCAGCCCCAAGCCAACCCTTCGCTAAGCATCGCACAAACTCTCTCTCTGTCCACTTTTTTTTGGTTCCTCGTGACTCGTGGTGGTTTGTAAAATACAATTTCCTCTGCGAGTCTCATGACATGTCCACCCCTCGTAATAATAATCCAATCTCGAGTTCGCGCTCCGTCGCACTGTTTGGGGCTTGGTTTTCCCAAAATACGAGTACTAGTTCACACGTGGTGGATTTGTATCTCATCGTATGACAGGACAGATCCAAAAGGTCCTTGTTCCCTGAACTACCTGTCCCCAACTTGGGTTTCCCCAAGTCTCTTTTTCGACTACCGAGTACTTGATCAGGTTACGCCGGCAACCGAATGTAGCGGGAACTGAGGAGAGTGGGTGGTGGGTGGTGGGCCTTTCTTTCTGCACCTGACTGAATCACCGTTCTTCAGAGTAGGTACGATAATACGAGGGGAGCTTGCACCGCACAAACTCGGGTACCTGACTGTAGCTTGCATTTCCGGCGTCTATTTCAGAACGTTAACCACCGGAGAGATTATCCGGAAAACAATTCCTCAGACGTCAAAAAGGACCTCCACTCTGTAAAAGCGAATTCTGTATTGTACCACACCGGATTATTGACGATTCCTATTCTTTGAAGAGAGGGGAAACGACCAGCAGCCCCAAACGTGGTCCGATGAATTAATCCCCCCAAGTAATGGACCTGACTCTCGCTGTAGCGAATGAGGCCAGGATCTGCGACTGTTGCAAAAAAGGATAAAGGACGGGCTTGAAGGTTGTCCTCGTCGATCACCCTTTGCTCGGTGCTTTGGTAGGCTCATCATACTCGGTCCTGGCTCGGTGAACCCTTCAAACACCCCCCAAAATCCCAGCCGCCGATCAGCTTCTGCGGTAGCTGCGGTATACTATGGGTAGGTACAGCTGGATACACTTTGGCCGCGGCCCGGGAGCCAGCGAGTCGGTTTGAAAGAATTCCTGACTCCACACCATTAAACCAGAGCTGTGTCTCGTCCTGATTGGACTAGATACGTTTTTACGGTGTATGAGGAGGTATAAGATTCAAGAACCATACTAGCTCTGGAGAAGGAGGAGAGCTTGCGTCTAAGCAGAGAGGCAGCTTTCACGGTCCGGGTAACCAAGACAGAAGATCTTTCGAGCCCAACGAACCAAGAAAGAAAGCGCCTTTGCTTGGTTAGGTGGATTTCTTGTCTCTCTCTCTCTCTCCAGAACCGCTCTGGTAGCTGAACGAGCAAGCATTGTATCTCAGCAGCTCAAGACCGGGGCATCGGCCGACCAAAATGCGAAGCGGCCGTGCGTCAAAGAGGACACGGCGTCCTGCGTCTGTGCCCTGCATCATCATCATCATCGTCACCAAACACGGAACCATTTGAAGAGTTCCACTCCTAGCAAAAGCTGATGACAACTTGGCAGACAGGTGTGGCAGGAAACGGCAGGATCGTCACCGGCCGTGCGCCAAAGTATAACCTCCCTTGGCCTTCTCTTTCGTGCGTGTTTAACGTTCCGATCACGTACTCTCTCCGAGGTTGGTCGTCGTTGGTGTGGGTGGTGCATGCATTGCGCGCTGATGTGCGGTGCGCCGGCGCTTTCGTCACCTCCAGTCCCGTTCTTTTGTCAGAAAAACCGAGAGATCGACCACATGTTTTCCTCATACTGATCCGCACAGACGGTCGATCCGTGTACCCTTCGTAGCGTGGTGTATCCAGTCTCTCGATCCTGCGACCGTGCACAGGGTATGGATCCAGTATGACGAATCATCTCTCCCACGCTCAGATCTAATGCCGGACGTTTTTGGCCTCCTTTGAAGGAACAACGTCATTGCCACAAAGCTCGAGGGATCGCAGGATTCCAATGTACACGGGAGAAGAAGGGCGGATGCGGTCAAAGGACTCGGACATTGCGCTCTCGATTCGTCAAACGTTCGCTGGAGCCATATGTTGCTGTCCACCTCTATTCGCCTTGGAATATGGGAGGCTGGATCCCGAGATCTGCGACAGATCCTGCTGCTGAGCTTACCAACAATGGATGGCATCGATTAGAAGTTGTCTTTGGAGGGGCTCCTGGATACAGATGTGCACCAGTGCTGAGATTTGTGCTGCTTGGAAAGACATTTCTTCTGAGAGCGCTAGACAACAACTTGAAGTTCGGGGAAACTGACTTGACCTTGGCTCATATGGGCTCATGAAGAAAATATGGGAAGGAGACAGAGTGCAAGAGCCTCTCTGTGCTCATCGTAGGCTTCAACAGCAAAATTACTACATTGATTGGCTTTTTATTCTATGCTCATGTGACTTCGAGATAACCACTGGCCTTGTAACAAGGCTGTGGCACACTTTACAAGGCTGAACCCAGTTCTGTTGCTTAGAATGCCAATTACCATATCACTGCCCATGTGGTCCTCCTCACTTTCCAACAGGACCTCCATCAAGGAGCGCCCAATCCAACCCCCGAATGTGTCTGTAGGAATGCAAACGCATGCTGTCATCACTCATTCATTATAAAACTTCTTCATTATCAGATGCAAGAACAAGTTGACATTGACTCGCAGTGCTCCCTCAAAGAACTCCATGAATTGCGTGTTGTTGAACTGCGCCTGTAAAAGATCGTCGAGCGGCACTTGAGCATTGGCTCCCGGGATCATCATGTTCCCTGAGCTGCCGTCAATGGTGAAGACGCCGACTTCGTTCGAAGAGAAGGTCAAGTCCACTCGGTCCCATTGCCGTTCATTGTAGCCACGCCAGTGGACGAGCACGCCCTTGTCCGCCAGAGTTCGCGCCGAGTATTTGTACGAGCCAAATTTGAAGGATCGCCCAGAACGCTGGAGCTCGCGTTCGTGTTCCCATTGCTTGCTGAAGGGCATCACGAACCTTTTCTTGCTCTTCTTGTTCTGTAGAGTCACCATGGCTTGTTCAATGTAGTCGTTGTAAGTCTTCAGCTGCTGCTCGAGATACAATGCTTGCTCGTTCAGTCGTGCTAGGGTGGTCTTCACATTCTCAAGTTCACGCTGTCGTTGCAGTCTTCGCCGGTGTTTTGTTCGAATGTCAATAGCGATGGCGTTGAGAAGATCTTGGTACTGATTGGCCCGTGTCAATCTACCAATGGACTCTAGCTGCAAGATGTTTTCCAAAGCAATGCGTTTGAGGTCGGGATATGACAGTGAACTGATGTCGAGATGATTGTGCACGTCGGTATAAGCACCACGCCGTCCGTTCCCAGCGCCGAGTTCATCATTGACTAAGGTCTCCCATTTTTCCTCATCTTCTGGTGTGATTGGTTTGACCAGTATCTCAAGGAGGTTGGCCCCTGATTGTATTCGGATAATATAGAGGACGCATCGTTTGGTTTCGGTCAATAGAGTTTTTACATCCGCGTCTGGATCTTCCGAATTGAGTAGTTTGGGGCTCAATGTCAGGCTGATCTCGCTGGAGCTCACACCCCTGAGTTCGCTCTCATTGCTCTGGACGCTACCCAATTCCCTCAGGATGTCGCGGAGAACATCGTCCTGGTTTGGACATGTTGAACTGATCTCTTGGGACAACAGCTTGTGGATGGAGAAGATATCAGCCATTTTGATGTACAGGGTCGGTTTTGTTTTCGCATAGAGATCGTTGAATTCGTCAATATCATAGTGCTCCTCTGCTGGCGGTATTGATATTACTACCCACGGGTTAGCTTGAAGAACTTCAACCGGGACTGATCAACTTACCATGACTCCAGATCGCCGCGAATCGACTGATAGACTCGCGTACATAATTGTTCAAGGGTTGCAGATAAATGTTGTCGCCGCCAAACTCACGACCTGAGGCGGCCTGGTTCAACACTTTTGCTATCTCCCCGAGATTCCGTTTTTGTTCTTGTGTCATGGCTCGATCAGCGACACCAAATTTCTCGGGCTCTAACAGAGCTGGTTGGAGGTAGTGACGCCACAGCCACTGGCCCACGAGCTGAAGTACAAAATCAGCGTCCTCGCCGGGGAATCGTGCAACGAGATGTCCGTGTGTCTGTTGAACAACGAAGCGGACACCAAACGGCATTCGATGC